GTTGTTGGCCAGGGTGGCCCAAGGGACTCCCAGATAGTAACCCAGCATAGAACTGGGAAAATGAACAGCAGACCTCAATCTTATCTAAAAGAATATGGACAACAGATTGCTGCTAGATGAGAAACAGCTGACCTTCCTGAAACAAAGACCTCTAGGTAGGCTGACTAGATCCACCAGATGGACAAGTAGTGGGAATGGCTCGGGGTGCAGACAACACAGTGGACAGTAGCAGGGATAACAGTATAAGGGCTCTAGTGGGGGGAGGGAGGCTATGGGAGAGTGCCATCTGGGAAGGGGGTGTATAGTTGAATAAGATGGTTTGGGATGTTCTGTGTGATATACACACACAGAAAAAAATCAACAAATTTTTAAAAATGTATTATATTTGAGGAGGAAGCATAAAAGTTTATGTCATGTTAATTAGTAGAGGTGATGAACATTACCATTGAAATCTACCCGATGACTTTATAGACACACACATGCCAACATCTCAGTGTTAGTAGCAAAAACAATGAGTCTGTAAGAAACTATATTTTAGAATGAAATGGCGATCTCTTCTGAGGGTTAAAAACTCATTCAATTTTATGTCTTAGAGGGTTCAATACTGAGTTCAATATTGTATAACTGTATTGATTCAACAGCGAACCTAGAAATTTTATAGCCACTTTTGAAGGAGCTGTATGTTTGCTCTGGAAATTGTTATTGGGCATGTTAAAGCTGTAATATTTTGTAATGTGTATGCTTCTAAAAAAATATTTAAAAATGTAGGAAACAGCATATCTTGAAGTGGAGATCTTCTTTACTTTAAAGGGTAAAAACTCATTCATTTTTTATCTTACAGGGTTTTATACTGAGTTCAATATTGTATGACTGTATTAATTCAACTGTGAACCTAAAAATTTAAAGCCACCTTTGAAAGAGGTGTATCCTTGCTCTGCAATGTGTTACTGAATATGTTAAAGCTGTAATGAAATGCTCCTTCTAATCATGCGAAAAAAATTTTGGTCTTTTTGAGACAGGGTCTCCCTGTAGCCCCAGCTGTCCTGGATTCACTGTGGAGACCAGGCTGGCCTTGATCTCACGGAGATTCGCCTGCCTCTGCCTGGTTATTAAATTTAAGAAAAAAAGATTGTGTGGGAACTTAGGATGCTTCTGACCCTCCCCCAATTTAAACAAGAAAATCTTTTTTAAAAAAGCCTTGTGATATGTAGGCGAATCTGAAGGCTTTTGGAGTTGTACACTTATGCTGATAAATCAGACTGATTTACAAAGATGCAAATTATAGGACAGAATATATATTATGAAATTTGAATAAATGATAGAAATACTGAAGATGTAAAAACAATGGTATTTTATTTAGTGTATGAGCAAATTAAATAATCTTGTTACTGGATTATCATAAAGAAGTGGAATATGGCATGTGACACTGTCCTTTCCCACCTTCAATAAAACCTCAGCCGAGTTTGTCCATCCACTCTCCCAGGGACTTTTTCATATGTTAGACGTCGTTTTTTGGGTTGTGGTAGTCCTGAATACATTAAACCTGTTAAAAGGAGAAAAAAGAAAACCATTTTATTGCATATACTAGCAAAGGATATTTATTTCTTATAGCCATCCACACTGTTAAAATTTCCAAATTGGGATAAGTAACTAACAAGAATCACATAAATTTTTAACATAAATATATCTGTACCTAATGGCTTGTGCAAATCATTCAGTAACCCAGGATGTCAGGGTCCCTCCTCTGTGAAGTAGGCTACACAATCTCTAAAGTCTCCTGGTTCTAATATTTTTAAGTAAAACCACTTGCGGTAGCTTGAGAAGCAACTCAGACAGGCTCCTAATTCTTGAAGATTTCCAATACATCTTCAACTAGAATAAAGTTTGAGGCTCACCTTAATTGACTTTAAACTCCAAACAAAAATTTGTTTCCTGGTCTCTGTATACCTTTTTGAAACTATTTGTGTGGTAAGAGTGTATGTAATCCCTCCCTTCCTTCCTTCCCTCCCTCCCTCCTTCCCTCCCTTCCTTCCTCTTTTTAAAGTATTTTATTATTTTTATGTATATGAATGTATTGTCTGCATGTGTGTAAGTGAACCTGTGTTGTGTAATGCTCATGGAGGTCAGAAAGTGGTGTCAGATCCCCTGGAACTGAAGTTACAGACGGTTGTCAGCTGCCATGTAGGTGCTGGACTTTGAACCTCTGGTCTTCTGCAAGAGCAGCCAGTGCTCTTGACTATCTCTCCAGCCCCTCCTTTCTCTCTTTTTTTTGGAGACTGGGTCTAACCATATAAATCTGGTTGGCCTGGAGCTTGCTACGTAGACCAGGGCTGCCTTGAACTCACAGGGATCACCTGCCTCTGCCTCCCTGATGCTGGGATTAATGGTGTGTACCACTGTGCCTGGCTCTTATTTCTTTACTTGCTTTAAAAAATAATTTAAGCTGGGCGTGGTGGCGATCTCTGAGTTCAAGGCCAGCCTGGTCTCCATAGCAAATCCAGGACAGCTAGGGCTACAGGGAGACCCTGTCTCAAAAAAATAACAATAATAATAATAATTTAAAAACCCTTTTCCTTTCTTGTCTTTTGTTTTTAGTTTGCCCTTTCTATTCCTTTCTTTTTTTTCACTCTGGCTACTGTCATGAGTGTTATAGCCTGTAGTCTGTGGGACAGGATATTTACTAAGCACACAATCCCAGGGAAGGGTTATGTGTCTAGAAATCAATCTGGGGCAGGCCAGATGGCCTAGCAGGTAAAAGGTGGCAAACCTAACGACCCAATTTCAATCCCTAGGAACCACACGGAATTAGACCCCTGCAAGATGACCTCCACGTGCTGTGACATTCACTTACATACACACTAAATAAATTAATAAAACATCAATGTGTAAATCCATGAGTGGAAACAGATCTTCAGGCCCAGTTAAGAAGCATGCTCATACCCACAGATAGCCACAGAGAACCTCAATGACCACAGGACCCTGGCTCCTCACTGCAAAGCTGTGGAGCAGGCTAGGCTGGCACTAAAAATGTGCTGGCAAGTCTTTAACAAACAGCTCTCAAGAGCGGCATGGGAGAAAGAGGCGGAGGACTTGTTTAAAAGATTTTTTTCACTATTTTTAATTATATGTATGTCTGCATATTTGCACCAGGGTATGTGCATCTGAGTGTCCCTGGAGGTAAGAGGCATTGGATATCGCTGGAGTTGGAATTACAGGTGGTTGTGAGCTACTTGAAGTGTGGCTGAGAACTGAACTCAGTTCCTCTTTAAGAGCAGCAAGCTCTCTTAACCACTGAGTTCTCTCTCCAGGCCCTAGCTCTATCTTTTAAAATTAAAATTGAAAGTAGTTTTATCAACATTAATGTTACCTGTTGATGTTTTGTAGTCTCCCCAGGTAGATGAAGACTCAGGGAGCCTTCTCTGTCCTAAATACGTATCAGCTCTTTGGTAGAAATAAAGGTTGTTGAATTCTTTTTTATTGACATTAGAATCAGAAGCAGAAGACGAATCCAAACTTGGAGCAGATGGTAATTCTCTCCAGAAAGTCTTCTTACTCCCAGCATTTGAGTTTTCGTATATGGAGTCTTCTAACTCATCTGGCAGACACTGCGGCTGATAGCTGAGTAAGTTATCCTTCTGAGAGTACCATTTGTTGTAGGTAGTTTGTTCTGCTCTGTAACTTGAATTAAATGAATAATTCTGTTTTTTACAAATGTTTGTGTTAAAGTCCCAATGAAGGGGGGATTGGGAGTCCTCTAGTGAAAAGATCGGGGTGGATAAATCTTTATCTCTAGTTTCTTTTGCTTTAGGATAATTTATAAAATCAGAAGTAACTCTCCTTTGAATATCAATTGGTGTCATTTCAGTTTCATAATTTATTTGTGGTAGACCCAAAGAAAAGACATCTGAATCTGAATCATTCTGTTTTAGAAATGAGTTCAACATCTCTTTCTTTGATTCTGTATTAATTAGAAAAGGCTTATTTTGCACTGTGTTAGGGCTGAAATGCGAGTCTTTCCAATAGCTGGTCTGACGACTGTAAGATGTTACAGATGGTAACATGCATGGCATCTCTCTTAGTTCCATAAGAGAAGAGTTGTATTTTGAAGTGATACTTGGGTCTTCCTGCATTGTTTCTCCCAAGTCTCTGTATGAATAATATTCATCACATTCTGGAGTAATGATAGAGCCTGAAGAGCCAGAAGCTGAACTCTGAGAAATAAAGGGACTACTTTGATTCTTATTTTCCTGAAGTGATGAAATTTGAGGTGACTTTGTTATGGAGGAAGAACTAATCTTGAATAAGGAAGTGATGCTATAAAAATGCTAAAAAATTAAAAATAAAAATGTAATACAACACAAACATTAACCTAGAAAAGATAATGATGTGTAGCTAAAAGCAAAAAGGCAAAATATAGTCTATTCATGGATAATTACATTGATTCATGTATTAACGTAAATAATTAAACGCTATTAAAAGAAAACATTATAATTTGCATCATTTTCTAACAACTTGTAATGGAATTTTAATTAATTTGTTTATTGATTTCTGAAAGGATCTCACTATATAGCCCTGGCTGGCCTGGAATTCAATACACAGACCAGACTGGCCTTGAGCTCACAGAGATCTGCCTGCTTCTGCCTCCCAAGTGTTGGAATTAAAGTCATGTGCCACCACACCAAGCTGTAATGGACTTTTAATAGCCTATTTTAAGAAAAGTTTAGATTTACAACAAATACAATAGATTGTTTTAGCTATACAACTCGTACATGAATACTTTGATAAAATTTTTTTTTTTTTGGTCTTTTTGAGACAGGGTCTCCCTGTAGCCCCAGCTGTCCTGGAACTCACTATGTAGACCAGACTGGCCCAGAACTCACAGAGATCCACCTGCCTCTGCCTCCCAAGTGCTGGGATTAAAGGCGTTTGCCACCACGCCTGGCCCTGATAAGAATTTTTAAATGTTACCAGTAAAGCTAAAGTTCTCTTTACTCCTACAGCAAAAAAAACAGGATTTCTGGGAAGTGGTAATGTAAACATCCATTGATTGAACATTTAGGAACACAATACTATTCCAAAATCAGTTAAAGTGTGATAAACTATACCAAATTCTCCATAATAACTCTAAAATGTATAATGTGATAGCTAATGAGAATTCCACATAAAATTTAGTTCAAATAAATTATTTCTTTCCTATGTAAAGTTACAAGCAAAGACGTATACCTTCATTTAGAAACCCCTATGGTAAAATGTTCAAATGGAAAGAAATAAGCTCATATAAGAATATGGATCTTAACTCACCTTTAGTATTTTTTCTGGAACTTCAGGTAGGAGTTCCTGAAGTTCACAAGGAGTTGCTAATAACAGCCAGTGCAGTGAAGGTCCTTTGTTTAACATAAGTTGAGCCACCAGAGGGTTAACACATGGAAAGTCAAGTAAGTACATTTCTTCCTAGAAAACCATTTAATTAATAATCAGCCAGTAGTCTTTTGAAAGTGACCCATTTTATTCTACAGATTAAAATTTTTGTCCTTGAATGTACCACTCAATTTTGGGAACCTGGAAAAAAATGCTATCAAGAAGGAAATTCAAGTATATGAATTTATTTGCTTTGCAAATGTCTGATTTATACATTTAGAAAAATAAACCTTAGATTGTGAAACTTCAAGCCAGGATTTATCCAAACATTCATGAGGATCCCTCTTTGAGGTCATTAAATTGTGGTCAGCAATTTGTCGAATTATCAATGCAGTCTCTTCTACTCCTTTGGCAATTATAAGCTAAAAAAAAAGTTTATATGTTAGATTATAAGAGAATATTAGGAAACAAAATGTATCATTCAAAAATAGTTGAGATGAAAGAGAAACATCCAACAGTAAAGAAAGATGAAATAATGAAATTTGCAGGTAAATGGATGGATCTAGAAACAGTTATACTAAGTGAAGTAACACAGACTCAGAAAAACAAACAACGTATGTTCTCCCTCATACGTGGCTCCTAGCACCAAATCCTTTTAAATTCCAGGGTCTTTTAATAAGATGATGCTATACAGCAGTCCCTTCTGCATGAAATGACTACCATCATCACGACTTCAGCTGAGCCTGATCACTAAACATCGTCACAATTGGGCTTGTTGACAGTTGTGCTCATTCATTAAAGGAGGGCAAAGCATGGTCATTGGACCCTCACCGGAGTATACAGTCACTCTTCCCAGCCAATTGTATGTAATTTGACCCTAATCACACATGGCCTCCTGGATTTGGGGAGGGCTAAGTATACAATCTGGGGAAGGCTAGGAAGAGAAGGTTTGACCCATGCTGGGTAAAGGCTTTCCAGTGTGCATACCCTCAGGTCATACATACACCTCAGTAACCCCTCATTTATCT